CCTGTCCACTGATACACATACCTGAGTAACAGTGTCTAACGGCTGTCCACTCTCTGTTTGCTCGTAAAGCGTGTCACGACATCGACCAGTGGCCACAGCCAACACCCGGTGCCACACTTAACCTCCCACTCATGGGTGTTGTACTTCAGGTAACGGTTCCCAATCGTAGCGAAAAGCTCAACCACTCACCAAACACGGAGAACCCGTACCCGTCGGTCAGCATCACAGCCCTCACCTCCGGCAACAGCTCCGGGATCTCGCCGTCACCATCGCAGCAGTCGCTGAATCCTTATCCCGTTGTCATACCATCTGTTTATGAGCTAAATATCTATAAGTCTTTGGCGTCGATCGTAACCCACTGTCAGCTACTGTGGGAACTGGTGCTGACGTGCGAACCCGTGACAGTTATGGCGCCCACACCTGATGTCTGCTCGGAGACCGTCCAGTCTCTGGTGTCACTCATTTTGCCGCTAAAGTACGGCTCAGACTTCAGGCCCTTCTTCACGATCCACGACTCGGAGTTCAAGGAATACACCACTAAAACACAGTCACCGTTAGTATCACTTAATCCCATAATCCGTTAGTTTGTCCGATAGTCCAGTGGTTTGTGTGTGACTTGTGATTAGTTAACGTAGACTTACTGTATGTGTAGATTTGGTAGCAATTAGTGGTTATTATAGTCTTAATCCATATTATAGTCTTAGTCTTAATCTATTATTAATTGGTGTCAAATGTCTATCATTTAGTCCGCCTGTGATTCTTGGCGTCACGAACCCGTTCTTCGCTAAGACTCTACAGCATTGGCCACACATTATCCGTATCGGCGACTACGGCACCGGTATGTCATCGCACACCTCACAGAATGTACTGTTTATTAACAGACTTATGCCTTAATTAGCGAATAATAATCACAAAAACAAAATCAAAAAGTCTGGACTCATAAAGACGTTGGACTCGAAGACCGGGGTTTACACCAAATACAAGCCATTCCTCCAGAAAGACCGCGAAATACTCAAGAAATTAGTGAAAGGAGTGGACAGTAAGCGTCCCTCAGAGGTACAGTCGGCGCTCTTACGGCGCTTTTTCACGGAACTGACGCAGAGTTTTCTGATACCATTGGAGCGGTATTTCGCGTCACTGATGCCGCTCCAGAAGAATGTCTCGCCATTCAAGAGGACACCGATTCTGCAGCACTTCCGACCGGACGAGTTCCTCAAGTCGTTGGAGACGTCGGGCCCTCAGCTCACCTCTGGGGTCAAAGGGGACTGGCAGGGCCTGTACGCCCGGTTCCTCAGGTGTCCCAACTTTGTCTGCTGGTACGACTCGCGGCTCCGGGAGGCCAACCAGAAGCTACGGGTCCTTCACATGGAGGCCATCAGTGGCNCATCAGTGGCGCTAATCTCGTCGATTGGATTCGCGATAAGGCGGAGGTCGAGGTCGTGGACCTGATTCTCAGGATTAAGGATAAGCTGTCGGCCGTCGAGTCCGATGGCCTCCCATTGGACGGACAGACTGTGGAGAAGTTGAGGTCCAATTTGGTGGCGATTATCGATACACTGCCCGAAGACCTCAAAGAGATTCTTAAGAAAACATAATATTTATTGATATTATCATTGATTCGCGTATTTTTGTGTCCATTATATCATTGAATCGTTTTTTCATTTTTTATTGCTGTATATAAAAGACAATTATGTTATCATTGATTAAAAACTGAGATTAATATCGTGTTTGCGATTAATTGACTCAAATGTATGTCAACTAATTGGTGGATGTCTTGTATTTATTGAACATTCGCCCAAACGATCAAATAATGTGTGAAATATATTACGGATTCAATTGATATTTACTTTAAACGGTATTTAACTATAAAAATAGAGATCACTGTCTTAGACATCATTGTCGAGGATTAATGGTTTGATGGGATCGATGGCCAGCGATGACAACGAATGAGAGATCTATTGAAGACAAGTGTCATATAAGCCATAATTAGGTGTCAATTGTGTGCAAACCTTATGTATACGGAAGCGGCAAACCCTGTGCTCCCAATCCAATGGCATTATTAACGCATTTCTTATGCGAACTAAATCTCTGTGTGTTTTCAAAGACAATTCATTTACCATTAGTTCAATCATTTCAACCAAATGTGTGAACACTATTGAGACGACAAATATGAGCGCATTTTCATAGCCCCGGGGTCTCAATAGTGAACACATAATCACGTGTATTACTTGGCGTTACTCCTAATGATAGCCCGAAAGTCTCGGTCTCTGTATTGAATCAAATCGACCAGAAGTTTGGCCCCGAAGTCACCAAACAGTGACCTAATGGACGACATTATCATCAGTTTGTACTGTCGGACACCAATCGGTGGCACCGTTTTGTCTGCGCTCTCGAAGTCTCTGTCGACAATCAAAGCACTCAATTATCACCCAAACTGATCCGCTAATCACAGAAATCTACTCACAATTCAATGTCTAAATAGATGTAATGGCTGTCATCGCGTATGCGCCTAAACCTCACCACCGATGACATCTTGGGACCAATTGGCGATTAGATATCAATGAACTACACGTTTAATGATATGTATAAAATAAATTGAGCACAAAATAGTCAAACAAATGGTGTCTTCAGTGTCTTCAGTGACCACAACAATGGACACAAACGAGTGGTGACTGTGTTATGAGAGCACAGATCACGTGAACCACGTGTTAATCACGTGACACAACACTTGTGTGACATTTGAGTGGAAAACAACACAACAGTTGACAAACACTGGAGTCTCGCGTGAAGTGTCTTCTTATCACTGAATCTCATATCACATCCCAATCCATACCATCGACACACGACTCACACCTCGTAACCACACGTCATATCATAATTGGTGTCCATTTTGTTAATTAATTTATTTCATTAAGTGATTGGAAGTGATTAAGTGATTGACAAACACTGGAAGACATGTTGACATTCACTATCTTGGAGAGGATCCGCTTCTACGAAGTGCTCGCAATGAACTCATTTCAGACACACTTATCACCGTTGGAACCGATCTTTATGTTTGCATCCAATTTAGGTACGAATGTCTTAAACTACACCAAAACCTCGTCCTGTTTTCAGATCTAATTACTAATACTATGGTAACTATCCTTCAGCTGATCCATCGAATGGATACATACTCTACTTTGTCTTCGGCCTCCTATTTATCTCGCATTCGGCGGGCTTTAAGATATTGTGGACATCAGTGCTGAGCGAGTGGTTGAATCTGATGCTGAA